ATTATTAAAAAAAAAAATATTTAAAATTAAGCCCTTTTTACTTATAATAATATTTGAATAAAGTAAACCTAAGCCCCCACCAAATGCAATTTGTTTAATCAGTTATATTTTTCTTCTTTACCTTATATTGTATTCTTGGATTGGGTCTTCAAATTTTCAGTATCTTTTCAGTCCCTTTCTGGAATGATTTTGCAAACCAACCCCACCTTTTTTCTTACCTTTCTGTTAGGCTTTCAAACTTTTTAATCAATATCTTGTAAAAGAGTAAAAGACTATGTTTATTTAGACTATGTTGATTTTTTTCATCTTTACTCGACTCATTAAGGCTCGAGTTTTATCTAGTTAATGTTGACAAACGAGCCGAGCTCGAACATGTTAAGTTAACAAGTCAAATTATGTTGAGTTCGATAAAAGGCTCGAATTCGAGCTTTTGATTATCAAATATTCGGGCTCGATTCGGCTCATATGCACCTCTAGCAGCTACACAATTTAGCTTCATATTGGTTTTCTACTTTACTTTGATATGTGAAAAAATTAAATCTTTATTTATATCATCATTATACAATTTTATATTTTTGTGAATGAAAATGGGAAATTTGTACTTTTTTTTGTTGTTTTTTTTTTAATCTTGGCAGTTAACCGGTGAAACAATAGGGGAAGTGAAAGCAGTAGAAGATATGCACCAAAGAAAAGCTGAGATGGCTAAGCATTCAGATGCTTTTATTGCATTACCAGGTTTTTTTTAATCTTGAAATCATGGGAAAAATTAAGGATTTTTTCGGTAAGGTTATTTTTATTAGGCCGACCTAACCATTAATCAGTTATATATTTTTCAACAAATATACATAATTTTATTTATAAGTGACTTACTTTACAAAAATCATATAAACAAAAATATTTCTCATTATTTTTATTATTTAAAAAGTATGACGTGTCGACTCGTTTAGACGGACTCACAATAAATTAATTTGAATACTTGAAATTACTGAGTTTGTTATTGCTTATGGGCCTTTTTATTTATTCAAATTATAGGAGGCTATGGAACTCTTGAGGAATTGCTGGAAGTCATAACTTGGGCCCAACTCGGTATCCATGATAAACCGGTATTATTTATTGATTTTATTTAAATTACAAAAAAAAAAAGGAAATAAAACAAATAGTTCATTCTATTTTGTACCAGTATCCCAATTTATTAATTAATTATTTCTGTTAATTATTAAATAAACGTCACTCGATTTATGGAGTCATCCAAACTTATTCCATAAAATTTCTATAACTACCAGACAATTGCATTTTACGAAAATTACAAATTCTCCCGCGTGAATTTTACTTTCATGTTCGAAATTTTCGAAAATAATAACATTTTTTTTTTAAATACCCCTATTACTATTATAATTATAATTTCGTTATTATTATTATTTTTTTTATTATTTATTTATTTATTTTATTTTATTTTATTTTTTGAAAATTTAGGTGGGTTTGCTAAACGTGGATGGATTTTACAACTCGTTGCTATCATTCATAGACAAAGCAGTTGAAGAAGGATTCATTAATCCAAATGCTCGCCACATAATAGTATCTGCCCAAACACCTAAGGAGCTAATGATAAAATTAGAGGTAATTAAATTAATATTATAATCTAATTTAAAATAAAAATAAAAATGTAACACATTTATTTTTTTAATAATAGTACTAAATTAAATAAGCAATTAATCTTAATAATAATAATTGTTGGTTTTGTTTTATTAGGAATATGAGCCTCGCCATGAGAGAGTGGCTTCAAAGCTGAGCTGGGAAATTGAGCAGCAGCTTGGCTATAGCCAGAATTTCGATATTTCCAGATAAAAATAATAAATAAATAATTTTAAGATTTGGAAAAAAAAAAAAAAAAGTTTAATTATTTAATTTGGAATCTGAATTTAAGAAGCTAACTTGGAAATTTGTAGCTTTTTAAATTTTTTGGTTTTAACATTTTATTGTGAATTTGTTGTCCCTTTATTTATTTATTTAGTATGCATTTCCAAGTTGTGATTTTGTAATTTATTTAAGTGCATATAATTCCTATATTAACTATAAAATTGGATTTATTATATTGCTTGAAAGTTGAAAGTTCCATAAATTTATTTCCTTGGGACAAGATTTGGTGATACCATTTTATTTCCAATAATTAAATGTTTTAGAGGAAATGAAGATTATATAAACAGCTTCAACTTTTTTCATATAATAAAAACTAATTAAATAAACCAACAAAATATAATTTCATGGATAGTGAAAACCAGTTATGGGCCCAAAATTAAGTCCATACAGACCCAAGGGCCCGAAATTACTCTGGAGTCTGGACCTTCTATTGCTTGTTTGTTGGTAAAATAGGAGTTCCATTTCATACATGTCTAACATTGGTCCAAATGTTTCCTAATAAATCCCAAAAAGTAAACGTGGCCACGGGTCACCCAGCCCCGTCAAACCCATTGAGCACGGGTCCGTGTCCAACACGGATTTCAAACGGACCGGTCAAGAGTTTTGTTTTTTTCGACCTTGACCCAGCATGTCGGGCCGGGTCCGGGTCGATCTCGTGTCGGCACGGAAAATACATTATTTTTTAAAAAAAAATCTCTTATTATTATTTTTTTATGTGGTCGGGTCCAAACCCAGATTTGGCCCGGCCTGGCCCGAGGGGCCATGGACCCGGCACGACCCTAGGTCCGTGTCAGTTCAGGATCATCGAAACCCAACCTGGTGGCCCAGCAGGCCGGGCTTGGTCGGGTTTTGGCCATGTCTACCAAAAAGTTAAATATAAAACATTAGGATGGATGTGTACCATATAATGTACACAAAGGAGTAAGCGACCATTTTGTGGTTTGTAGTTCATATTCAACTAGTTTATTGCAACACAACTTTAAACCCTTACAACTATTTTTTTTTTTTTATAAGAATTTTATAAAGCGCACAAATGTGGAAAAAAAAAAGCAGCACAAGCTGATGATACAACTTAAGAGCCTAAAACTAGGAGGACAAATCTGGAGATCACCTAGGGTCCGCGTTAGCAACGGTAGACCAACACTACTACAACACGAAAACAAAAAAAAACTACAAAGCTCTCAATAAAAGAGAATGACCGATCCCAAAAGGATAATGTTTGATCTCACTCGGTTTTGTGTAAGAACTCGTGCTAACGACCTTGGTTCGAACACAATAAAATGTGTAAACCTGCACTGACGGCCTTGATATACACATAAATAAGTGAAAATCCGCACTATCGGCCTCGATTTTTCATGAAGAAAATACTCGAAAACTAGCCTTTTTTCTTAAATTTTATTTCATAAAACTTCATTCTTTTACAATCATGAGTACATGCATTTTTATAGCCGAAATCTAAATATTCAAACTGTAACGAACATATAACTAACCATTCAAATATTTAAATTATAAACAAATATATTAATCCTATCTAAATACTTAACATATATAACTAAATTAACTACTCCCGCTCATATACTTAATTGAGCCCGAATGCTCGATTCGTATCAATGTGGCACAACACTGTAGCAGCGCTATTTTTTTTTTCTTTTTTTTTTGTTTAATGTATTCTAATGTAATATTAGTGATAAACTTTTGTATAACGTGTATTAATAAATGTATTTCTATGGTAAATATAATTTGTGTAATGTATTTTTTTGTTAAATAATTTTGTGTTTTTTATTTATTGATGTATTTTTTTATACCAATTTACTTGAATTAAAAATAAATAAAACATATTTTTTATTATTTTGGTAATAAATATATATATATATATATACCAATTTATTTGAAATAAAAATAAATAAATAAATAATATATTTGATATAAAGTAAAATGTAGGCGAATGACTAGAGACGAAACTTGATTTTTGTTTAACTCTACTCTAAAGTAGAGTAGAGATAAAGGTTTGAGAAGGACTAAGGAAATCTAATTAATCAACTGGGTTGTATTGCTGATGATGTGAAGCACTTGAAAATTTGGGATAGCCGATTCAATTGAGCTCAAACTCCTGATACTCGAGCTTGAGCTTTTGTCTCATTAAGCAAAATGTGTCAAAAAAAACGAGAATAAGTCTGAGTTCTATCCTTTATGGACCAAGCTATAAAATTTTACATAAATATCATATTTTCGAACCTTAAAAAGTAGAGCGAACTCGATTCTTTAACAAAATGAGCTTCAAAGATTTTGAAGTGAACCCAAATCTTAATAAACCAAACTGAGCTCACGAATAACTTGTTTATTCCAATAAAAAAATACCTTAAGATAATTTTTGCAATAATTACCTCACTAAATTTCATTCTTTTTTCCTTCACACACCCCTCAATCAAAGATTTACAAAAAGTCAAAAACCGCACAAAAAATTACACTTTCAAGCAGCACTTTGTTTTCAATCAGCCCCCTGGACTTTACCCAAATTAATCCTCGAACCCAGTTTTCTTCCAAATCGCATTTCTGACCCTCCTCAAGTCCCTGCCCTTCAGCGTCACCGAGAAGGGCGCCACTCTATTTCTCGCCAAAAACTCGTGAGGCGGCATTTTGTAATTTCCCGCGCCCTCCCAATCCCCGCACGCGCCGTCTGAAGACCCCGCGGCGCGTGGCTTGTACGCGTCGCCGAGGATCCTGGGCCAGTCGGGGACGTTCACCGGAAGAGACCTCGGGCCTTCCGCAGGGTGATTTCCGTCCCGAGGTGGATTTCTCACTGCCTTTCGGGCCGGCCGATTATGGGCCTTTTCGGGCTCGTCGGCCCCCGAGACATCGTCGATAGCCCAAATATCGGATTCGTCGAGCTCGAGCAGATCGCCGGGAGAATTTGCGTACGGAGGGTCGACGGCGGCGCCGCCGAGGTAGCGGTGGCTCTGCCTCGCTGTCAGTGCCATTTTTTTTTCTTCACAAATTTGGTGTGTGTGTGTTTCTGAGGGAGAAGGTTTTGAATGAAGTTTGGGTATGATGTTATTTATAATGAGAGTATTGGATAAACTTTGGGATATGCTACAGTCCCCTTACGGAACATCGGACTTATACCCATTAGATCATAATGTAACTGTCGGAAATAGTTAATCTAACGATTACAAATCTCGACATAATGGTTCCATAACGCGACCGTAACATTTTCCTAAACTTTGTTTATTTTTATTTTTCAAATTTTATTAAAATTTGGAAAAAGTTTGATTTTTTGAAGGGAGGAAAGTTTATTTTATATGATGATTATTTGGATTATTTTTATTGAAAACATTAAAACATATATTCATTGCATCACTCTATATGAAATGTCATCATAAGAAATGTATATAATAATCTCAACATCTTTATGTCATCATAAATTAATATTGTTTAATTAATCTCTTTCATTAAAACATACTATATTTTATTTTAATAAGAAATGTCAAAATGTCATCATAAAATAAAAGGAGAAAATAGAATAAATTAAAATGGAAAAAAAAAAAAGTGTTCTAGCTATAATCTCCACATCTTTAATTAATATTTAATTATGACTAAAACAAGTAGAACCACAAATACATACTTAGCGTGTGATTGTAATGGTTGAAAAATGAGGCTAACTGAAGTTTAAAGAAATGCTTATATGGGTTGACTCAATAGTTTTTTTTTTTTTTTAATGCATATTTGTATATAATATATAAATATTTATTGAAAAATATAATTACTTAGCAATTATGTACGAGTTTTGATTATGTTTGAAATAGTAAAATCTATAGTAATTAATCATGTGCATATATTCATAAATCATATACAAATAAAAATAAATTATATATACCAATATTATACTATTTACTTATATATAAAAAATGAAATAAAATGAAATAAATAATTTTATGTTATAAACTATAATATTATGACCAGCTAATTATTACAAAATATTAAATTACTATTATTATAATAATCATTTATTCGGTTTTAAAAGGTTCACTTTGCTATGCCATTAAAACCAATTAGTTATTAAAAAAGATTAACGAGATAAAACTAAAATGAAATACTAATTTTAAAATAAATAATTTGAAAACAAAAAAAAAATTGATCAAAAAAAATAAAAATATATATATATGAGTGTATAACTTAAGTTTTTTGCGTGAAATTATAATTAGTTAATGTTGGTAGTTATTATATAATAAATAAATTAAAAAGGTATTATTATACTTTATAAATAAAAAAAATTAACGGTCAACCGCATAAACTCCAGCTCTTACTCTACTCTCTACTTTAGAGTAAAGTTAAACATCTATCTCCAATCCTTATCTCTACATTTTAATTTACATTAATTTTTTTTATTCATTTTTTTTATTTCAAATATATTAGTATATATATGTATATTTAATTTTATATAAATGTTGTTTTTATTTGTGTATTTTGTGATTTATATGTGTTGTAATCTTCTAATTTTAATATTTATGTTGTTTTAACTTGTGTATTTTCTGATTTACATGTGTTGTAAACTTTTGATTTTAACGAAATCTACTTGTTTGATTGTGTTAAATTTTTATTCATTTGGTACCATTTTAATATTAAAGCACAAAATTATTTAGCATAAAAATAGATTGAACAAATTATTCAACATAAAAATACATTTACTAATACACATTATACAAAAATTTATCATTAATATAACATTAAAATACATAAAAAAAAACTAAAAGAAAAAAAAAATGTGAAAATAATATTAAATTAATAGCATACAATTATATAGGTATGGTTATTATGTCGACTATGTACATTGCACGGATGTATGAGGATTAAAAACTTGTGAGGTTCATTTGTTATCAATGTAATTTAGAAAATTCACGCCCGTGCGTGCTCGTTATCCTATTTTATGCAATAAAGTAAAAAGTTGAAATGGTTGCAATTATGTAAAGGTTAAAATAGATCAGTTTTGGTATGGAGTTATCGGATGATTCAACTTATAGAGTCATCTACACTTATTCACCAATAGTGTATTGACACGTATCCTACAACAAATACCATTCGATGGTTCCATAGAATTTTTGTAAATTAGATATCATATTATCTCATTTTTTTATATGAGATTGAATTTTAAATTATTTAAAGTGATTTTTTTTTTGGTTAACATTATCACTTTTCTTTAAATCTTTTCAAATAGTATGTAAAGTGCGTAGAGAATGTAATGTTGTAGTAGACATACCCACTCTTATATAGGGATGTGTTATCCTGTTGCCCAAAATTGCCCGGATACGTTGTCCAGACTACTCGAACACCCGCCTGTACTACTCGAACTACCAAATTATGTCATGTCATGTGGCCCTATTCTCGTGTGGAAGTTATCGTAATAATATTGCTTCTTATACATTAGTCTTTCTTATTAGACGATCTAACCGTCCGACCGACTCTAATTATCTCGAGGTGGAGTGTTGTCCTTGCTAAGCTCGTATGTTCTGCTCATCTGGTCGATCGGTTGGCCAGTGATATCCTTAGATTGAGTTTCAACCAGGTCATCTAAGGTCCCTAGTTTAGCCTGCATGTGCTCCTTGAATTTGCAACGTCCTCATCGAATTGAGCACTCTTTGATCTGTAGCGCCTTCGGCTTCTATGCGACCTGCCGGTTCACTCAGCTCAGTCAGGTTGTTTTTCGGGTATGGCCGATCCAATATGGTATCTCATATCAATATTATATAATAATTATTATATAAACTAACTAATTATATTACGCTTATTGGTATATGAAAGTTACATTAGTATAAAATATAACATTGTAAAATCAATATTAATTTTTATTTATTTCATTAAGTGATATTTTTAAGATAAACTAATTTGAGATAATATAAAAAAATGAGATAATATGATATCTAATTTCATCCACACTTATTCACCAATAGTGTATTGACACGTATCCTACAATAAATATCATTCGATGGCTCCATATAATTTTGTAAATTAGATATCATATTATCTCATTTTTTTATATGAAATTGAATTTTAAATTATTTAATGCGATTTTTTTTTTTTTTTTGGTTAACATTATCACTCTTCTTTAAATCTTTTCAAATAGTATGTAAAGTGCGTAGAGAATGTAATGTTGTTATAGACATACCCCACTCTTATATAGGGATGTATTATCTTGTTGCCCAAAATTGCCCGGATACGTTGTCCATACTACTTGAACACCCGCCTGTACTACTCGAACTGCCAAATTATGTCAAGTCATGTGGCCCTATTCTCGTGTGGAAGTTATCGTAATAATATTGCTTCTTATACATTAGTCTTTCTTATTAGACGATCTAATCGTCCGACCGACTCTAATTATCTCGAGGTGGAGTGTTGTCCTTGCTAAGCTCGTATGTTCTGCTCATTTGGTCGATCGGTTGGCCAGTGATATCCTTAGATTGAGTTTCAACCAGGTCATCTAAGGTCCCTAGTTTAGCCTGCATGTGCTCCTTGAATCTGCAACGTCCTCATCGATTTGAGCACTCTTTGATCTGTAGCGCCTTCGGCTTCTATGCGACCTCACTCAGCTCTATCAGGTTGTTTTTCGGGTCTGGCCGATCCGATATGGTATCTCATGTCAATATTATATAATAATTATTATAAAAACTAACTAATTATATTACGCTTATTGGTATATGAAAGTTACATTAGTATAAAATATAACATTGTAAAATCAATATTAATTTTTATTTATTTCATTAAGTGATATTTTTAAGATAAACTAATTCGTTTTAACGGATAAAGTCAAACTCATTAAAACCACCTAAGCAATTGTGATGTTAGTAATTTTTTTTTTCAACTAATTAATTGATCATGATTTTCGAAATTATAAAATTACATTATTTATTATATTTTCAGCTACATTGAACACATTTTCATTTACATATACTAAAAAAAAAAAAAAAATCTTCTCACTAGTCAAGGTCAATCAATTTGAACTAAGATAATGTGAGAGAAAAAAAAAAAAAAAAAAATGGCAATTAATCAATTTGCAGAATTTTTTTTTCTTTATTTTGGTAAACAAAAATGATTGTGTCTTATTATAACCACACGATTAATTTCATCACCAATTGATTGGATTAAATCAAAAAGAAAATAAAAAGGGGAAACACGGCGTGAGATCGCAAACTTATAGGACAGTGACAAGTTTGAATTTCGTGATAAATTTCAGTCCAATAGGAAAAAATTGTACGAATAAATTGATTTGATTAATTTCGATCATCGTTTACTTGGTTAATTTAATTTCAAATTATCACACGATTTGGGCACGGTTCAATTTTATGAATTTTTTAACATGTAATAATCATACAAAATCACATTGTAGTGATTGGATATTAAATAAATTTATTCTTATATTAATAAAACTGTGATTGGATATATTTTTTTTCTAAAAACTTTGCTTTAATGTTCCCCTCTCCTGCTTAACTAGTGTGGTACATGTGCGATGCACGAGCTAGTTTTATTAAGATGAACATTTGGATTTGGATGATTGGAAAAACGTAAAACACATGTATTATAATAAAATAAAATGTAACTTATATATTATTAAACAGATCTTTGTACACAACATTATTTGTTTGGTATTTTGCATATCGTCTATCGTCACAAATTATATTAGGATTCTAGATAGGCTTAAATACATCAATTAAATTATTTAGCAAGATATATATGATATTGTTTATATCGGTTTTATGAAGATTGCATAACCAGATTGTAAAATGTCTTAATTGATAATCTAGAGCTTTATTATTAAAAGTTGTAATTTACTTAATTTAATGAAGGAAAAAATTGTGTAAGCATATGCAATCTATTTAAATTTGTATTCTAGAGGATTAAACATAATCTAAATTTTTAGGATTTTTCCAATCCGATTTAATTTTGAATTTCAAATTATTAATGACTATGTTTTATGTTTAAAAAAAAT